TGCTTTGGCTCCAGTTTCCTTGGCCTTGGTGACATCGTCCCTTAAGGATGTGGACATGAGCCCCACCCTTACTCCAGTGTCCTGGTGCTGGACAACACTGAAACAATGCACGGCCTATCCACCCATGAGGATGGGGTGTGTCAACCACTAAATCTAGTCCTGTGCAACGGCAGACACGTAGTAGGTGCTCCACTTCTCTTGCATGAATGAAGCTGAGGCGTGTTTTCCTATCTTTCTGTCCTTCATGCCAATAATATTTTATACCGGCAAACATCAGCTGTCCCTCTCCCTGCCCATCCCCAAAGCACATAATATAATTGCTAAGGCCCCTGATGTGTCTTGGTCCTACAGTAATTCAGTTCTTCCCAACTGTCCAGGCTGCTGGCCCAGCAGAGCTCTGCCTCAGGGTGTGCCTGTAGCCGATGCCGGACAAGGGCCATTCTCCTGAACACAGCCCTGAACCCAGAGATGCCAGGAGATCCCAGAAGCAGAGCAGGGAGGCCCCAGCTGGCGTCTCTCACCTGGAGCTTCAACTTCTGAGATTTTCTCTGATGGACGAAGGAGGCCCAAGGAAGTCAAGGGAGCTCTCATCAGGTGGGAACTCATGAGAGCCAAGTCCATTGTCCTAGATCAGTGCTTCTCAACCTCGGCTGCACATTAGAATCACCTGGGGGTCTTTTTAAAATCCTGATTTCTGGGCCTCATCCTCCGGAAATTCTGTTTCTTTGTTACTAATGTGGTGGCCCCACCCCATAACAAAGAAACAGAATTTCCAGAGGATGAGGCCCAGAAATCAGGATTTTAAAAAGATTCCCAGGTGACTCTAATGTGCAGCCGAGGTTGAGAACCACTGTCCTAGAGGGAGACAAATGTCAGGGGGTCTGAGCTGGGGCTGCTGTGCCATCTCCCCACCCCAACTGCATGGCCTCCCCCCAGCTTGAAGGCAGGGAGGGGTGTGCGAGGCGCTGTGTTTAGAGACCCCAGACCCCTGTGTGGTTCCTCATCTCGCCAGTGGAAGCTGGCAGCCACAGAAGCTGGTTCATGGATCACATTTCAGCTTCCCTCTTTTTTCACTAGACCCCATAGCTGGAGGAAAATGGGTGACCAGGAGCCACACAATACAATGGTTAGGGACATGGGCTTTGAAGTCAGAAAATCCTGGGTCTGAGTTTAAATTCCACCTTTTACCCAGTGTCTGGAGCAAGTCCCCTAACCTGTCCAAGCTCCATTTCTGCATCGAGAAAGCGAGGGTAGGAACAGGACCTACCTGAGGACTGCCAGATGCACTGCGCGGGTGTGCGCCCTAAGGGCTCCCCAAGGGCCTGCAGAGGTAAGCCTGGTAAACATTGGTGGCCTGTGAGTCCAAGCTTGCTGGGCTCCACTTTCTCTCAACCAACTACTTTTTACACTCACTAGCCGCCCTGGGCTGCTGGCGGGAGGGGGCAGCAGAGGCCACGCTGAGCTGCCTTCTCTGGGGTTTTCTGGGGAGCCCAGAGAACGATGGAGGAGAAAGAAACTTTAAACTTTCGCACTCACCAGGACCACTTGGGAATCTGTAAAGACTGCGGATTCCTGGGAACCCCCTCCAGAGATTCTAATCCCATGGTTCTCCAGGCCTTGCCCCAGTCCGAAATCTGCAGTTGGAGCAGACCACCCAAGTATTCCAATGAGGGTGGTTTCGGGGCTGCGCTCTGAGAACCACTGTCAGAAGTGAAGCCACGGGGCTCAGGGGCCTTCTGACCTGGAGGTTAGGAAATCCTGGGGGTGAGTCCACGTCAGAGCCCCAGACTCAACTCCAAAATTCCATCTCTTGAGCCCCACAGATGTCATCCTCCTCCCTGTGTGTCACACCAGAAGATGGGGAGTTTAATGGTTCCCAAAGTGGGTGCTGATCGAAAGTCCCTGAGCAGGAGGCCTTGCAAAATATGGGTTCTTGCACCTGGTGTGCCGCCACCCACCTGCTCACACCTACAACCACCAGATCTCTTGGGGGAGGAGGGTGGGACATGTGTGGGTCGCATGGCCACTCCTGTTGGTGCCACCCCCTCTCCCAAAGGTCCTTGAAGACAGTATTATCAGAGATGAGAAAACTGAGGCTCAGAGGTGACTTTGATGGTTTGTTTAGGTGGCGGCAGAGCCCAGACTCTAGCTCCGCATTTCCACTACCTCTGGAGAGTGCCTGCTAGCGGGCACTTGCAGGCGGGGAGCCAGGCTTTGGTGCCACAGTAATGCCTTCCCATTCCCAGGCCTCCAGTCCCAGAGGGAAAAGAAAACGGGGACACTGCGGAGCTCAGTGGGCCGGGCGTTTTCCCATCAGAAGTGCACACCCTGAGTGTCTTCCATCGGTCCGGCCCCGAGCTGGCGTCCAACGTGGGCCCTGGGAGTGCTCAGGGCGGTGGCCTTGCCGCTGGGGCTGCGGTTCCGTCCACCTACGCCTGTGGAGCTCGGAGGCCTCTCTGGGGCGCTTCTGCTGCCAGAGGGTGCAACGGGCGGGTTGCTGAAGCTCAGGTGCACCCACAGCACCGGCCCCTCCTGGAAAACCGCGAAATCTGCGGGATTTGTGATCCAGGAACGGAAACCCCGTGGCATTCATCCTTGCTACTTCCCTGCCTCTGGGCCTTTTGTTATTGAGGGGTGGAATTGCATACATTGAGGGGGTGGAATTGCATACATTTAGGGCGTGTAATGGACTGCATTGTTCCAAGACAAACTTCCTAAAAGTAGCGCAAATATTTTTAATTGATCCTGTTGAGGATGTCCCTATGCTAGGAGGATTCCCACGTATGCCCACCGGGCCAGCGATTTTGCACCAGACTCAAAAGGCCTTTACACGTTAAGCTTGTACCTCGCACATGACGGTCACCCTTTCACCGCAGCGCAGGACAGTGGGAGCTTCGCCCAGCAGCCCCTGGTGCGAGTCCAGGCTGAAACGGGCCTTGGAAGACACAATGCCAGTGAGTTCTGTCCCGCGCAGCAGTGGCGGCGGCGGCGGCGGCGGCGGCGGCGGCTGGGGCGGTCGCAGTAACAGTGGACCTTACAGAGGTGGCTATGGCGGTGGGGGTGGTTATGGAGGCAGTTCCTTAAATATAGGATGAGGGTGTGGAGGCAATTTTGCCTGCGGAATCTGGCCCTTTCAGGTTTGCCAGGGGAAGGCTGGACTTTTCTGTCACCCCCAGGCCCCAAGTGAAGCCCGAAAACAGCAGGTAGGCCCATCCCAGGGCTCCGGGAGGCGTTCCTGCACCCAGGACGGGGCGAGCTGGGAGATCCCACGGAACTGCAGGCGCCACCAGGAGATGAACTGGAAGCCGCGATCCGCTGCCGCCCTGGCATCTGGCACAGCAGCGGCGCCAAAATGGGCGAGGGGGCTGGAGGGGCCGCAGGAGACCGGGGAGCGCGCCGGCTGGGCGGCATTGAGTTTCTCCTAATCAGCCCCACTTCCCCGGAGCCTCTGAGCTAATTGGGGCGCAGTCTCCGGCGGGGAGGAGGCCCGCCTTGCCTGCGGAGGTTGTCTGGGTGAGGGCGCTGGAGACCTGGGGGCTTTTCTCGGGCCCTGATTTCCGGGGCGCCCGTGGGAGGCGGGAGAAGCGGAGAGACGGTCCCTTCTGGGAGAGCAGTGCGGTCTCCATCGCAGCGAACCTGCTCGCGGAGCACCAGGCCGACGCGCGCCAGCGACAGCGCGCTTCGCCCGGGAGACCCCGGCCGCCTCTTCGGCCCGCCGGAGACCCCAAGGGACACGGAGTCACCGGTCTTTTCCTGTCCCCTTTATCTCCGTTTTATAGACAGCTCTTAGGTTGGGACATTAATTGCCAGGGCGAGTTTATTGATAATTTTGATGTAACAGAGCACCGGAGAAATTACCCTCACGTCCAAAATGTCAACTTTGAGAAGAGCCAGGTTCAGAAAAACTGCGGTGGGTCTTGAACGGCCGCACCAACAATGCGACTTCATGGTGTTTGTTTTCCCAAATAGCGGGAATGGGAATAGAAGGAGGGTGATCAGCAGAAGACTCAGGCTCCTAAAAATGCTCTGTTGCCCCTGAGGATCTAGAGCAGTGGTTCTCAGCCTTCCTAATGCCGCGACCCTTTAATACAGGTCCTCATGTTGTGGTGACCCCCAACCATAAAAGTATTTTCGTTGCTACTTCATAACTGTAATTTTGCTACTGTTATGAATCGTCATGTAAATATCTGATATGCAGGATGTATTTTCATTGTTACAAATTGAACATAATTAAAGCATAGTGATTAATCACAAAAACAATATGTAATTATATATGTGTTTTCCAATGGTCTTGGGAGACCCCCGTGAAAGGGTCGTTCCACCCCCAAAGGGGTCGCGACCCACAGGCTGAGAACCGCTGATCTAGAGTGAAATGTTAAGGGATTGGAAACATGCCTATCACCTTGTTCTCCCACCAATGGCGCTTTTCTGCACACATTTTACTTGATTCCTGATTTGGGAAAAACAAGTGTAGGGCACCAAAAAAAAAAAGCAACTACAAAAACATAAAAGTTCTTTCATGATTTATAACCGCTGGGATATTGGAACAGTAAAGTCTGAAATTCAAAGTAAAACTTTCATTGGTCTTGAAATGGGAAAAAAGAAAGAATATAATTTTATATATTTATGTATATATTATATATATATGGTCTTCCCCGGGAGAAGGAGGACTCTAGTTCTTCTTCAAACGTTTATTTCTTTAAAAAGAGAAATGACATTTAGAGGGGCAGAGGGCTCTTCTTAAAAAACAGAAGCCAAGAAAAATAGTTACTCGTGTCCAGAATTCACTTCAACGTGAAATGAAGAGTGAAAAGGAGAGGATTAGCCAAAAAATGAAAAAGAAAAAAGTATGGAGAATCACCCATATTTTAAATACAAAAAAATAAAGTCTAGCTACCCCAGGCCGGTTTCTGTCTGTATTTGGGGTGGAAGATATTCTGCAATCCCAATGAAATACTCATGCGATTTTATTTCTAGTTGATACAATGTTAAAGGCCATGTACAAATGTTATACATTTTTATTTTTGTTCTTTTTTTAGGAAAAAAGTACACAAAAGGCAAAACATCCTCAAATTGTCATTTTATACAGTGCAGAAGGAAATTTAAAATACGTGTCACAAACGCTGCACCCCAGCAGCCAAAATACTAGAAAAAAAGGGGGTAGTCCTTCATTTTATATATATATTTATATAAAACATATGGGGATTTGTTTTTACACACATTGGACTTTGTTTCAAATTTACAATGTATATCTAAAAAAAAATTCTACGCGGCAAATATTGCCAACAAAGTTACACCATTAATACTGATAAACGGAGGAGCCTATGCGGTGTTTCGATTACTAGGGAAAGAAAGAATAAATAACAGGATGAGCCTTGCTATAGTTTTAAAAAGTGCCTTAACCTTTCTGCATCGCCGCAATCCTGAATTCTCGCGCTGGCCGGGCCTCCCCGTCCCGCGTCCGGCCCTGTTCGTGCCGCTTTCGCACCAGTTTACAGTAGAGGTCGGGAGACAGAAAAACACCCTCCAAAAAAGTCCACGTAAAATTCAAAACAAAACCAGAAAGACTGCAGAGAAGGAAGAAGAGGAAGGCGGAGGGGGGTGGCAGAGGCCCGGAGAGCCGCCTGCTTCTGGGCTCCATTGGTTTCTTTTTTAAAAAACAAAAACAAAACGAACAGTGGCTTCAGAAACACAAGTCGTGCGCACAGAGATCCACCTGCGGCTGCAGGGCTTCCGAGGTGGGGAGGGAGAGCTGGCTTCTGCCCCCCCTTCCCTGCAAACGCGGCTCTACCACGCGACTTGCGCATTCCAAGACATTCTTCCCAAAGAAAGTTAAACATAAAAACGATAAATACTCAACCCCAAAATAAAAGTATTTGATAATGATGGTCTCATGTGTTTGCCTTTCTTCTAAAAAATCCCCCCCTTCACTTTTTCCATTAAAGGGTTAAGGGCGGGGGGAGAGACCTCAGCAGAATTTTTGTTTAGATGTTGAGGGTTTTCCCCCAACACAGCACCTTCTCAGCCGGTTTCAATCGGATCAAAAAAAAGAGACTTATTTACCAACAGCTGCAGTCAGATTAGGCCTGAACGCCACCATGTTTAAAATATTTTGAGGGAATAGGAGAGGAGGTGCCAACCTCTGTGCCGCTTCTTTGCCCTGGGGGTTCCTTTTGAAATAATCCGGTTGGGGAGGGGTCAAACCCTTTTCTTCTGCCGATGGTTATACCTCGAGAATAAAGCAGTTTCTAGGGATGGGTTCCCAGGTCCCTTGTTCCGACTGCCGTGCCAGGGACCCGTGGGCTTCCCGGCTCACATCACACAGGGCTTGATGTCTTGGTAGGTGACCTGCTGGTGGTAGTAGGAGCCGCCGCCGGCGGAGTGCATGGAGGAGGACGCCATGGTGTTGAAAGAGAAGACAAACTCTTTTCGGTCACACATGCTGGGTGACTGCGAGTGATACCGAGGGATGCCTGTGAGGGAGGTGACAAGAGGCGAGAGTTTAAGATGGACAAGCAGCTCTGCCCCAAGCGCTCTGGGCGCAGGGCCCTATCCTCCCCACTCTCCACCCCCACCCCAGAGTCCCCGAGTTCCCAGCCCTGACTGGGCCTGGGCTTGGGCGTCCCAGGGGAAGAGCCTGGAACACCCGGAGACATCCCTGCTCCCGGGAGCACCCCTGCCCGGGCCTGCACCCGCTTTGGACACAGAGCGTGGGCTGGGGGGCTTCCGATGCCTAAAAGGAAGAGGTGGGGTGGGGGCCCAGATGGGTCTGCAGACGCCGCCACGGAGGGCCCTGGCGGCCTCCACCTCTCGGGCGGCCTGGCGCCAGGGCAGCCACTTCCCAAGCCCAAAGGCTGTGGAGGCCTCCGCGCAGCCAGAGGCAGGCACTGGGAGCAGGAAGCACAGGCCATCACAGGGGTGAAGGGCGGCTTCTCCGGAGGAAGCCCCCCTTGGAGAACAGGGCCACCCGGGGAAGCAAGAGCCCAGGAGTTTGAAGCAGCCCAAGCAGGGCAACCCCAGATCCCTCCAGAGAAGTGGCCTTTCAGCCACCAGGCCCGGCTCCTGCCTCCCACCCGCTGCTGACAGCTGACCCCTGAGAGGCCCCTGCTAAGCTCCCTCCAAGCTCTTGCCAGAACTAGGCGGGAGTTCAGGAGGGGAGATTTTTCTCATCTTCCCCCTGAGGGCTGGGGAGAGGGCACCCGAGGACCCGAAAACCTGGGTCCTGAGAAACAAAGGGCCTGCGGGGCCTGCAGCTCTGACCCTCCCTCTGGGCCCGGCACAGACCCTCTCTGCCTCTGTCCCCACGAACGCCCCTGGCTCAACAGTCACAAGGCCAGGCCTGGTTCTCTGAAAGGCCGGCACGGAGCCTCTGCGCACCAGGCCCAGGCGGCGTTGGGCCTAACTCTTCCGTTCTGCCAGGGCAAGGAGCAGAGGCGGCTCTCCGGGCCGCTCTCTGAGGGACCACCCTGGAGGGTGAGCCAGCTGGCCGGCAGGCCCCATCTCCATCCTGGGAGCTTGCTGAGGTGTGAGGGGACCTAAGGGACCAGGAGCAACTTAGAATGTTTGGATCTGAGCCTTTTTGGTGGGACCTGGCCATGCTCCCGAAGGCCAGCAGCCTAGAGTTGGGAAAAGAAAAAGAGAAACGATATGTTGACCCAAGTCAGGACCCAAGTTGCATTCACCCCTCAAACGGAGAGAGGTGGGGCCGAGGGACACCGCAGTGTGGGGCTGGCACCCAACGGAAGTGGCTGCAGGCTCTCAACCAAGGGCCGGCAGCAAACTGGGGCGCTGGGTCGGCGCAGGGCACTCACAGATGTCCGGGCGCCCAGACTCCCCACTCACCTTGCAGCTCAGCTGGGGCGTTGTGACTGTTCTGGTGCAGATAGGGCTGGTCCAGGGAGTGTGTGGAGAGGCTGCCGGACAGGGGGTTAGCCGCGGGGTTGCAGGGGGACAGGGGCTGCTGCTTGATGTAGGAGGCGCCGCTGTTGAGCGCGGC